CAGAGCTGCAGCTCTGTGTTTGGCTATTCAGTCCCACCCTGACTGCCACGGACTGAAAATAAGGGCATTCATACAATGACAGAATGGCTCAGGCTGGAAGGGACCTCAAGGATCAGCAAGTGCCAACACCTCTGTCACAAGCAGGGCTGCCAGCAAACCAGATCAATACTATTCTGTCCCAAATCTGCAGAAGGCAGAGCGTGCAGTCGCCAAGCAGACCCTGAGCAGCATCCCCAGCCGTTTGGAGAGGTATGCACCCAACAGCCAGCTCTCACAGCAGCACAACTCAGTGACCAGATGGACCACAGCACCACGCGCCTGCAGAGCGCTGCAGGGCCATGGCCAGCAAGCAGAGCGTGCACAGAAATCAAAGCTCAGCTGCAAACACTTCCCAAGGACAGACAATAGAGCCTCCGGCACACTGTGGGGAAGGAATCACCAGCCACCAGTCCAAGTCAGCCTTTACAATGCCTGGTACGTGGCATTCACGGTCCAGATGCACACATAGCTCAGATGCAATCACACTCCCGCCCTGCTGTAACATCTGTTCTCTTCTCATTAGCCAGGGCCATGCTTTGTAACAGAAGAAACTGAGATTCTCAAGCGTCAGCATTTGACCAGAGGCGTTATGAAAAGCCCCAGTTTTCACAAGTGGAGTTCATATGGAGTCACCAATTACTTCTAATGATACTGGTCCCTGCTCAACACGCAGCTTTAAGAGAAGTTTCAAAGAGTAGTTCAAGTTCCAGCACAGCCTGCTGCAGCACACGGCGCTGGGTTTGCGCTGAGGATCTGGGCAGGACAGGACTGAAACCCATCCAAAAGCTGAATCAGCACAAGGACCTGAATGCACGGCCTGGATGGAGTTCTGAGCACAGAATTCTCTCTCAAGCCTTCCAAGTTTCCTCTGCATCTCAGAATCTTGCTGTCCTCCCACCTTACCCACACCGGACAGGAGATGAATGGGGAGGGACCAGAGCAAGAGGACACACACACAGAGCTGCATCCTATCACAGCTGTGGGAATATTGAAGAAGCAAGGCTTCTTTTGGAACAGTGCAGGTCACAGCTGGAAGGGATGCTACCGGGGGTAGCCATGCACATCAGAGCTCAGTGAGCACTTTGTAGCTCCATTGGTTTGCAGACCTCCTCACCTCTGATGCAGTACAGCCTCACCCAAACACCACCAACACACACTGCTGGGATGCACCTCCCTGCTGCAGAAAGTGACTCCAAACCCTTTGAGCTGGCATCTCTGCTCTTCCCAGACTCCCATGGAACATCCCTGAGATGATGCCTCTGCTGCAGGACGGCCAGGGCTGCCTGAGGGAGGCTTCAGCAAAGGTCATTAATGGATACTGTGATGGATTTGGCCTCAAAGTGGTTTCAGAATTCAAGAGTAATTTCAGAAGAACTGAGCTCCAAGCAGTCTGAGCCGAGGATGAGCTAAAAATGTTTCTGCTGTCTGTGCACTGCCTTACATGTCACACCTGGTGCTAGAGGATTCCTTGAACACAACTTCCACCTCCGTTTGTTTGCAGCAACGGGTCGGTGTTTGTGTGCCACTGCTGCAAGAGAGCTGAGGACCACCACCTGGATGTCACTCTGAACGTTCCAACAGCTGTTAAGCTTCTCTGGATGCGTCCCTGTGGAAACAGCAGTTAGAACAGCACAGACACCAGGCTGTGATCTACAATCAGGTTACTGCATTTGTAGCCACCAATCTTCCTGGCAGAGCAGTGCCTGAGCTGTGTGAGCCACAGGTAGCATGCCCCATTACAACAAGTGCAGGTGCACCATAGGCAAGGGGCTGTAAGGGATTTGTGGGCTCAGTTTTAACCGTGGTAACAGAAAGTACTGACAGCGTCAGCACGGGGAGGTGACGGCCCTCACACGTGAGGACTCAACGTCTGCTCTGGCATAGCTTAACTCCTCCTGGTTTGGGGGAAATCACAGAGAAATTCGGGGGAAACCAGAGAAGATCAAGTGTGTTCTGGTGAGGTGGCTCTTCTGGGACCGTCTCCTCCGCTCCAGTATCCAGGAAATGCTCTTTATTTACGGAGAGCTCATCGCCATGGTTTCCGAGCACAATAAGGCTCTATCGCCCTTCATCCATCTGCGTTTCTGAGAATCCCTGGGCTGCAGGGAATTGCACGGGGCCGGCACAAAGGAACTGATTGTTCTGGGCTCTGCAGTCGGAGGGCTGCATCTTCCCTTTCCAACGGAGAGGAAGCGAGCAGGAAAAGTCCCTCTGTGACCTCAGTGCACAACAGAGCGCCGCGCACCGACCTGCGTCGTAACCCGGGGACGGCTGGGCACCCTGCTGACCCTGCACTCTGCAGCCCTGGGTGTGAGGGCAGCAGCCCAAGAGCCCTTGGTATTCCCACCCCAGCGAAACCCACCAGCAGCACTGAAACTCGTTGCTCGTTGAGGACTTTCCTCGGCGGCAATGACTGCCAAAGCAGTAGGAACCCAAGTGTTGTCAGCTAAGGACAGTGCCCCAGCTGCCACGCTCCCCATCAAAGGGCAGGGAACAATCAGCCGTGTTTCTCACCAAGCACACAAGGAACAAACCTAGGAAAGGGATTAAAAACACAAAGAAGGGCCAACCCCAAACCAAACAGCACAAACCAACCAGACCAGGAAAGCAGCACTGCAGGGATCTCACTGGGAACAGAGATGAAAGTAGGAGAAAAAGAAACTACTTTTTTGTTGTTTTTTTTTTTTTTTAAGCATGTTTTTTTAAAGAGTCCTATTGACATCTGCTTTGTAAATGTTCTGTCATTATTTATAACCTCAAGAGCACGGAATTGTCTCTGTACTTACAACCATGCTACTCCCATATTCTGGCTTTGTTAGCAAAGAGCCAGCAGCGCTTTTACTGCAGCTCTGGGAATAGAGATCTAACATTTCATACACAGTTTATTTAAAAGTGGACTAATTTAACATTCTTGATGGTTCCTTTTAGCACAACTGTTGCTAATTACCAGCTCCAGAATGATTTGTCCATCTGGGAGCTGCAGCAGTTCCACAGCAGCATAAATACACCGAGATGGAAAGGACGGAGGGGAAAAGAGGAGATGCTGCAGAGGGACGGGGTGGAGCAGGGTAAGGCAGGTGGAGTTGGTAGCACAGGGCACTGCGAGGAGAGTGCTGGGCTCCCTGAAGAGCAGAGAGAAGCGGCTGCAGCTCTCAGTGGTGCAAGCTTGATTTTGGCAGCACGTGGATGGGCATCAGGCCCACGGCCAGGCAAGGCAGCCCCATGGCAGCCTCCTCCCTAATCCTGCTCCTCCCAGGACATGACCCTGGCTTTGTTCAGGTGCTTCCAGGGCACCAACCAGCATTAAGCCCATGCACTCATCAGCCATGAGCATCCCAGCCCCCTCAGCATCCCAGCCTCCTGCCCCAAGGACAGATGGGACCAACTCTGCCCCCTCCTCCAAATGCCCCACTCACTGCCAAAGCAGTGGAGGCTCATTTTCCTAAAAGAAAAAGAACAGCTTTTAGGAAAGCAGCCACATTCTCTTCCCAGTGTCACATCCCGTGTTCCCATCTCGCTGCCCAGCGCAGGGCTGGTGCAGTGGGAAGGGCAGCAGCTGTGTGCCACCCTGCCCAGTGCTTCGGGCTGCACATGGCAAGGGACTCAGAGGGTCCCCAGACCAATTTTGGACAAGTATTCTCAAGGCCTCAATGGAAGGCACACCCGCTTCCTCCTGGGATCTGCAGTGCATCCACTTTTATCTTCTGGGGGCTCTTTGGAGACCAAAGGTTTGAGCAGCTTTGCAAAACTCATGGAGAAAACAGTGATGCCATACCAGTATCATTGGTTTGTACATATATTTTCAAATGAGTCACTTTCCTTCTGTGAAAAACAGATTCCTGCACGCAAACCTAAAACAAACCCCAGCAATCGCACGGGGTAGAATGCGGTTTTGTTTGTTTATTGACTTCATGGCTGTTAGCAGAACAGTCCCTTCCCTGGCAGCTGACACTTGTTAAATGCCTCTCTACCCAATAAAACTGCGATAGCCAAACACTAGCTAATTGCTTGCTAATGTAACCCCTTCTGCTAAGCTCACCAGGACACAACCCATCACTATGGCAACTCTGCCCATCCCCATCACCTCACACAGTCAAAATATAACTTCCAAGCAGACACGGTGGGAGCACGCTGCACTGCAGGGATGGCTGAGCCCTGCAGCACACGTGGGAAGGCTGCAGCAGTGCTACGAGAGGGGCACGCTCTCACTTCGGCACAACAGTGAGGGAAAAGCCTCCATCAGCTTTCAGCAGCTCCTGCTCACCGCACAGCTCTCTGCACATCTGTCAGCATGAAGCCGGCGTTCTGACAGCCCCGTGGACCAGACTCATCCCCCAAACATCTGCTGGCAGCACCGTGCACGCAGCTCACATGGAGTGGAAGCTGCTCCCGTATCACCCCATGTCCCACGCACCAGCCCAGCTCCATCACAGATGTCAGCAATGGGCTCCGCTGCCCGTGGCTTCCAGGTTAAAGATTAAACGTGTGCTTTCAAAGATAAACACACGCTTTGAAGCCACCTGAGATCCTCCAGCGTGCTTGAAACCCTATTAGAGAACAGCTAACGTTCTGCGATGCAGATGTTCGCAGTCATTTGATAGACAGTGAAGAGCTACTTGATGATCTACAGCTAACAGGCCAACAGAGCAACAAATATGGGCATACAAGTACAAACAGTTACCTGGAATGAGCACAGAGCCTCGAGTATTGTGGAAGAATTAAGGACAAGGACACCCAGTAGCACTACTGTGCACAAGTTCACTAGGCCTAGGACGTAGGAATAGGACTGCTGGAATTAGCACCCTGGAAGGCAATCAAAATCATACAGAAACTGCTATACATCACGAATGCTGTTTGTTTTCTCCTTTACAAACAGAATTCTGCGTATAACCATGATAAGAAGGAAAAGGTCCTTATGCTTGGTCCCTTGGTGAGAAGACAAGGAACACAGCAGGACTCACCATCTGGGCCCTCGCTGCCCTTACTCCTCTTGTTCCGGCGCACACGTCTGCCTTCTCCAACATGCAGCTTTTCTTCAGGGTGAAAGAAGTTCAGCAAGGCCAGCTGCAAGACAAGGACAAGGTTAAGGCTGCTGGAGATGCCCAGGCATCCAAGCAGGCGGGCACATCGATGCACAGCACAAGGCAGAAGATGAAGCTGGGCATTTCCCAACGGGGCTGAGCTGCACCAGAAGAGTTATTTCTGTTCCCTATTTGGTAACCCAGTAAAAACCACCTTGCTGCCTGCAGCCAACACGCAGATCATGGAGGGTCGAGCTGGAAATAAGCAAAAGCCCCAAACGCTGATGCAATCGCTTTTAATTATCCTTTGCAAAACTTGCTCAATCCTGGAGCTCTCACCAGTACTGCTCACTGCCAGTAAGTTTTCCTCTCCCAAGCTCCCTTCTGTAAGCCTCATTAGCTACTGAGATTCAGAGGTCTTCAGGGACCTTTAAATCCAATTCAGCATACCACATCATTAACACTTTAAACCTAGGACAAGTACATGGTTATAACACGGCTTTTGCCAAGAGGGAAACGTTTCTCCGCAGCAATCTCCTGTTGGTGGAGAGCACTCACTGCCATCAGAGCCCCGTGATGGTCAGCAGCACACAGCCCAGCAGCACAGCTGTGGCAGCAGCCCATTGCTGGGGGCATTCCTCCATGCGCTCCTGCTCCACAGAACAGGAGACTGCATGTCAAGGCCAGGCTGGATGGGGCTGTGGGCAACCTGGGCTAGAGGGAGGTGTCCCTACCTATAGCAGGGGGTTGGAACTGGGTGATCTGAAAGGTCCCTTCCAACCCAAAGCATTCTATGATTCTGTGGCAGCCACCTCCTTCAGCCTGCACTGCACTGCTGGTGACCTGGATGGGGTTTTCCTCCTCACGCTGAAGGAACTCGGTTGCATTTATTGGTCCACAAACACACACCCACACCAAACATGCACCCATCTAAGGAAGGAACAAAGAGGCTTCCAAAAGCAGCACCAAAGCTTATCAGCACAGAGAACAAAACCCAGCGCATCAAAGCAGCCTTTAAATAGCAGGGAAGAACCAACCCCTTTCATGGATGAGCAGCTACAAGGGCAGTGTATGAAGCTACAGGCCACAAAAGCCCCTGCTAGGGTCAGTTTGGGACCCCTGCTGCCCACACTGGGCACACTGTGCTCACCCAGCTACAAGAGCAAAAAAAGGAAAAAAAACCAGTGATTGTAAAACCCATTCAAAGTTTTCATTGCCCCACTCCTTCCCCCTCTTTTGTAAGCGTGTGATCTCCAGGGAACAACGCACAAAAGGGGACTGAAGGACAAGGAGGTGGAACTGCTAACCCTGTGGATCCCCTGCCCTCTCTCCATCACCGTACAAAGTCAGTCTTAGGAAAATAACAGAACTTATTGCTTATGGCAGCGATGGCAGCCACAGCAGCTGTGAGCAGTCTGAGAACAGTTCCAATGAAAGAAAGCTGTCTGGCAGAACTGACTGCAGCCTGGACTGCAAACTGACACAACTGGTGCGGGGAAAAAAGATGTACAGAGCAGCCTGGCCTGAGACTGCTTCTGCAACATTCATTAGTGCAAACAGCAGCACTGAGCTCCAGGAAGTGACACGCAGGGGCTTAGAGAGGTTTTCCTCGGGATGGAAGAGGAACATCAGCACTGCTTTCAGGTCACTGGACATTAGGAACAATTTCTTCTCCATAAAGCGGTCAGGCGTTGACACGGCTGCCAGGGAGCAGTGGGGTCACCGTCCCAGAGGAGTTCAGAACTCTGGGGATGGGCAGTGAGGGATGCAGGCATGGACGTGGTAGGGGGGTGAGCATCCGAGAGGGCTTTTCCAGCCCCAGCGATGCTCTGGTTGCACGGAGCTGTGCTCCCAGCAGCACACACAGCATGGCACGGCCAGAAAAGCTCCAGCAAAAAAGCTGCCCAGAGCCATGCTCCCCACTGCCCCTACCCACCATACAGCTCTCAGACACAGAACTCACACCCACACGGGTGGAAACAGCGCTCGGGTCCAGCACAGCTGTGTGGGGCTGAAGAGCCAGAGATGCTCCTCCCATCCGCCACCCCTGAGATGTGACTAACAGCAGCACCCTGCTCACGGGTCTGCAGCTCTCAGCCTGGCCGTTGGGCTGCACTCTGCCTTGAATTAACCTCACCTACCCTCTTGTTTTCCACTTGTCTCCAAGAGCGGAGGCTGTACCAGCAGAAAGTTGCAGGTGTTTGCCACCCAGCTTGCAAAACACAGCGCAGCCACTGGGACAGATGCAGGGAGAGACATCATCTCCAGGCAGAACACTCACCAGGACGGCGTCACAGCACAGATGTACTGCAAAGGACCCTTCCCACCATGAGCAATGAGGGTTGAACCATAGAACATCCAGTGTTGGAAGGGGACCGCAAGGATCAGAGTCCAACCCTTGGCTCCATACAGGACCACCCAAAAAACAGCCCTGCAAATACACCTGCAGCCAAAGCAGCAGCAGCTCCTGCTGGACTTTTGCTACAGCTACACACAAAGCTGGAGGCATCAGCACTCCCATGCAAAGGCCTGAAACGGCCAACACCGTGTAAACCCATTATGACTCCCTATGTTTAATCACCAAGATCTCTCTGGGAAGGTCAAACAGCAAAGAGAGGAAAAACCCCCAGGGGAAAACATACCTCAAAATAACCTGCGGAACAATAGCCCAAAGCACGCCCTGCTGCAATGAATCAGTGATACCTTGCTTTCTGTCAGCAGAATAAAGCAAACACAAAGGCGTGCACACAAAAGCACTGGTTCGCTCTGCAGCAACATGCAGAACCTCTCTGGAAACACCAAACAATAACACTCTGGAATGCCATGAGAACACAATAGGAATTACCAAAATAACGTCGCCTGCAGTTACTCAGAAGCCAATCTGGTTTGTAAGAAAGGACTCTGCAAAAGGAAGAATAAAGACATTTTATTGTGTATTATATATATATATTTATACACACACACATATATATATATAAATACATTTTAAAGGTACCATAAATTGGAATCTTTCTTCAGGATATAAGACCCAGATGGAGCATCGTTAGGGCTGGATATATAAACTACAAGCAATAAGGAAAAGCAAGGCAGCGCTGGGATATATAAATACTAGCAAAGGTTTGGGGGTTTAATTGCACCCCTGTGCAACACCACGCATCACATCAGAACAAAGACCCACTGGGCACCACAATCCAAAGGGTCAAACTGCTCCCAAGGGGGAAGCAGGGAGGCACCGAGCCCTCCTCACCCTCACCACCAAACGCTGCCCTTCTCATTCAATTCACGCTCATTTGCAGCTTTGCAGATCAGCGGCGTGAGGACGGGGAGCCACCCGGAGCTCCTCGGAGCCGTTCCCTGCGAGCGCTGCCGCTGCTTTTTGGCTCTGGAGGTCAGCAGGCACAGCCTGCGGTTCCAGCAGCAGCTCCCTGAATCGCAGCCCATTGTCCTACAGCAGGAATTCGCCCGTGGTGACACGTGGTGTCAAACCCGAAGGAGATCATTTATTTTCAAACAGGCTGGAGAAAAAAAAGAAAAAAAAAAGAAGTTTGGGGAGCAGCTTTGTTGTTTGTTTTTTTTTTTTATACCAAAGAAGCCATTCAACATATTTTCGGCTTTGTTTTTTTGTCATCGTGACTCGTTCTTATAAAAACGCAAGGAGAGAAAGAGTAAACAATTCGCATTTCAACATGACAAAACACGACAAGAATTTACACACGCCGTGTTTGTCAGCCCGGCCCCGAATGCAAAGTTCCTGAAACGTGAGCTATGCTGTGAGCCAACGCCTGGGCAGAGCTGAGCTGCCACCAGCCCACAGCTGCGCCCTGCCTGGGCTGGGGGCTCAGATCCTCCCCTGGGGGGCTGCACACAGCAGGATGCTCCATCCCTGGAGCTGCGTCCTGGGCAGCCTGAGAGCTGCTGGCCCACTGCAGCGGATGGAAACGGATGGGTTTTGGGGGCCCTTCCCACGTCAGCCGTTCTGTGGTTCTCATCTCCTTCACAAAGCTTCAGTCACCAGCCTCCCTTGCCCAAAACCCTTCTCGCCTTATGGCTCCACCTCTCAGCGCTCCCTGCCATCCTTCCCCCTGCATGGCAGCTGGGTTGCTGTGCCAGCTATTCACGCTGCAGCCCGAGGTCCCACAGGCACAGAACAGAAGCTCTTGAATCGACAGGGGAAAAAAAGGCAAAGAAAAACACAATTCCCTCTCGTTCTCATCTCCACATGAGGATCCTCACTGAGGCTGTTGGACTGGACAGCCGTCTTTAAACACTTTACCTCCCAAAGCCACGAGGCAAAGGAATTTCTGCAAACAACATTTTCTAGAATCATAGAATTGGCTGAGTTAGCAAGGGAGCTTTAAAGGTCATCTAACCCAACTGCCCTGCAATAAGCAGGGACTTTTCCTACCCATTTTGAGACATTCTGTGTGGGGCCTGGAATCACAGAATGGCCTGGGTTGAAAAGAACCACAGTGCTCATCCAGTTCCAACCCCCTGCTGCGTGCAGGGTCGCCAACCAGCAGCCCTGGCTGCCCAGAGCCACATGCAGCCTGGCCTTGAATGCCTGCAGCGATGGGGCATCCACAGCCTCCTTGGAGCTGCACTTCACCATCATGTGGGTCCCTTCCATTTTGAGACGCCCCACGAACCACTTCAGGAGATGAAAGCTGCAGAGATGCCACTGAGCTCAGGCCAAGCGATCCGGGCAGACTGCGCCGACAGAGGGATGGAGCATTCCTGCCCAGAGCTGAGCAGCCTCTCAGCACAGCACTGCGCAATCAGGGCTTTAAACACGAACCCACCAAGTCCTGCTCTTGGGTCTTCGAGGCACTGCGGTAATATAAAGTGATTAGACAACAATAAAAGAGGGAGGGAGCATATTTTCCTAAGATTTTATTGGTATTTTAACTTCATTACTCGGGAAAGCTACTGCGTTTTTCAGCACAGAGCATTCAACAAAGTTGCCGGTTATCAGTTCAAGGCTCGTTACCAGCCAATACTCACACACAATTAATGGTCATTAGAGGCTACAACGCAGCTCATAAA